CCCTTACCTAACTTGATGAGATGTTGCAAGCTGTATTGCTGATGCATTTCAGTATTGTGTGCACATATGTAGGAAATGCAGTCCAGCTCACATTTACCATTTGTATATAATTTGCTTTGGCATACCAATATTTTTAAGTGGATAATTATTTAAAATAAATTAGCAAAAAAAAAAAGCCAACTGATTCCATTCTATTATTGGATTAGCAAAATGAACTTAGTGGCTAAAATGTAAGCCATGTTTTATTTACATTGACCAGTATGTTCCACATTGTTTTTGGCAAGACTTATCTCAAATCTTCTTCTCCACCCTGGGATTTGGTGGTGTTCTAAAAATAAGCTTTTACATGGAAATAAAGTTCAAATATTAATAAAACTATAGTCAGCCAGCCTGTAGGATCTATCTACTTTAATACATGATTATTTTTTTTTTATTGGACTAACTTTCAGTACTTAGCTTCCTTGTTCTTTAGCAAAAGAGTTAAGTAATTGCTTTGATCTCTCCCTACACCATTGATATTTCTAAGAGGATTTATAGTTTGTCTATTTTATTTTAATACTTTGATTAGATGCTTTGTATCATCTGTCTAGTTCAGAAAGAACACCTCTTATTCAATACTTCCACAGGTTTGCAATACCTAAAGTTTAAAAAGAATTTTTTAAAATGAAAAATATTTCCTGAAGCTTTTATTTTAGTGTTAATTTCAAGCTCATAGATTAAATTTAATATTTCCAATAAGCAAAATACTTTGCTCTTTTTCTAAACTAATTTAAATTGACTTGAAGGTTTTTTTTTTTTTTTTTTTTTTTTTTAAAAAGATTTCAGCACCATTTTTAGCTCCTGTTCAACACAATGTAATTCTCTTTATTAGAACATCTTCCAAAAATTAAATATACTTTTCTGAAACTTTATTTGAGGAATATTAACTGATTTAAAGTATAATTAATCTGATTTGAAACAAATATTAGTTTAAAATATTACAAAAATGCATTTTTTAACATGTCAGTTTTTTATTTAAGGTATTAACAGCTTGATGAAAGATGTGTTTATCTAATGTTTTTACGCGGCTATATCTGTAAAAAAAATTATTTAAGAATATAACGAGCACCTTTTTGTATAATTTTTAAGTACTCTGTAATCTTAAAAACTTAGGAAAACATTGACCCTAATTTAATGTTTTCTTGAATTTTAAATACTTTGTCTTTAAATTTGCTGTAGTTATCACTCTTATTTTCTGATAATATCGTGTATGAACTTCTGTATCTACAAAAATCAGTACATTTATATATATATATATATATATATATATATATATACAAAAAAAAAATTAAAATTGTCTTTAAAATATTGGCATTTAATGATTTGTACTAAGTTTTTCCATTTATGATTAGTAAATATAGTTTTTAATTGATAACAATATCACCTAACTAGATCAAAGAAATTTAAGTAATGTGAAAATTGACTTATTTTAAATTTTTAAAAACTAATTTTTGTAAAAATTCATTATTGAAAAAAGAATTTTTCTTAAGACAAGTGTTAATAGATCTTGTTTGTAAAAGCAGTTAAAAGCTTTTCTAATTTGCATTTTTTATTTTACAATTCGGAGCAGATTTTTACAAAAAAATGAGTTAAATTCTTCGAGTAGTTTTTTTTTAACTAATATAAATATTAAGTGGTCAAAATTTCATTTCTTGAAATTTCATGAAATTAAATAAATGTGAGGTAACAGATGTAAAATAAATATACATATACACACAAAGATTTTCTAAAAAAACCAAAAACACACATTCTAAAATAATTTCATTCATTTGTGAATAAGTCCTGAAAATTCCATTAAAATCCAATATTTGATTTTGCCAGAATTTCCAAATTAATGGGTTTTTTGTTTTGTTTTTACTGTAAAAGACAATATTTCCTATACTAATCTTTGGTGCCCTCCCCTAATCAATGACAAAAAAAGAAAAGATTTTTTAACCAAAATCTCAAAGGTTCTAAAAAGGATTAAAAAATCCTTTGGTCTTTCCTCTTAATAACACAGATTTTGATGATAAAACTTTGTTTTGATCAAGTTTGGGATTTTTTTTTTAAAATTAGTGGAGGTACCTACCTCCTCATAATTCTGCTATTTTTCACTTTATGATGATATTAAATCATTTATTCTATAGACCCATTGTAATAGGGAAAAAAAACTTACTTGAAAGAAGGAAGAAAATGTATCTAGCTTCTTTCATTATTTTTCTTGTATTTATATGCCTGTATTAGTGAATTCTCAAGCAAGCACACAGGTGTATCAGGATGTCCTTACCAAATCAACCTTATTCTTTTTTTCTCTTCTTTCTCTAGTAGATGTGCTAAATGTATTAAAATAGAGCAGAAAGCAACATTTAGTTTTTGTCTGTTCAGCTACTTGTACTGCTACTACTAATTTCCACAAAAAAGTTTAGCGTTAAGAATAGACACTTGGGAAGTTCTGACCTAATCACCATGCCACTACTTAATAAGTGGCCTTGGTAGTGTCAAAGCTTTCTCTTTCTCTCTTCCCACATAAATTTTAATAATAAATTAGGAGTGAAATTGTCTTAAAAAATTAGGAGTGAAATTGTCTTAAAAAAATTAGGAGTGAAATTGTCTTAAAAAAATTAGGAGTGAAATTGTCTTAAAAAATTAGGAGTGAAATTGTCTTAAAAAATTAGGAGTGAAATTGTCTTAAAAAATTAGGAGTGAAATTGTCTTAAAAAATTAGGAGTGAAATTGTCTTAAAAAATTAGGAATGAAATTGTCTTAAAAAATTAGGAGTTATTTGTGTCTCAGAAAAAAAGTTTGAACAAAAGGTGAAATCACTATGAACATCTCAGTTTGAAATCAATTCTTTCTCTCAATGTATTTTTGGTAATAAACCTTGCCATGATTTCTATAAACTATAACCCAGATAGTTGTCATTGCACCTCTAATAATTTGATAGTTATATATACAGTTTATTGTCAATTTTCTCATTCTTTTTATATTAGCATCTTCCCATCGTTATTATAACATCATTCATGTGACTACAAAAATTATGATTGATTTAGTGTTATAGTCAAAAGATTCTTGATATTACAGTCTTTATTTTGGTCAAGTCTTGTCCTTTTAAACATTTGAATAAGCATTTATGGGTTTTTTTGTTTTTTGTTTTTTTTAACCTGAAGCAATTCATGCACAAAAGATCTTAGTCATTTGACATTAATTAAAAACTGTTTGCCTACAGTTAAACTTTAAGAGCTCTACAATTATCAAATTTTATTACATTTGCTGAACTTCCTGCAATATCTTAAACTATAAAGAACATTAATTTCCTTTTAGTTATATTTGTTATTGAAAATGGTTCATATTGTTATTGTAAGATATTCCAGGTAAAACTTGAAATGTAATCTGAGGCTTTCAAACTGATATATGGGGATGCCTAGCATTATAATATTGCAAGTGAAACATTGTCTCTTCATTGTCCTGGATTTGGAAATTTGGGCCTAGGCTTAATCGTTATTACAATATAATGGTCAGAGTTTATGGCTTATCTAGTTTCCAGAAAATCCTAGATCATTTCTTTTCTATCCCAAAAGACAATGCACATCACATACCACTTTACTGTTACAACCTTTTTCTTTGATGGGAAATTCATATTGCCACACCAGGCACTGTCATTGTTGATATATCACTAGTAATGCAGTTCATGCAGCCTCTTAGTGATTTGGTAGGTCTTGACAGGTTTGTATTTCATGGGCTTTTTGTTGTTCTTTGAGCATGCATATAATCCAATTGACCACAAACTTTGTGATAACCCAATGTTTCCAGTATTTCCAATTCCCAGAAGTTGACATTTAATTCTCAAATCATAATTGTCCAATTCGAGTAGATGAACAGATTAAAGTGCACTTCATTTTATTAGCTACTTTGAACAAGGCTTGTCATACACATTGTTGTCACCACTGCTGAAACACATTACCCACTGCTCAACTGTGCTTATATCTACTGTTTGGTTTCCACAAATGTTCAAGTGTTGATGAATATCAATGGATACAATATTTTCTGCATGGAGGACTTCAGTCATACACTTCATTGTATGCATGTTTTTGTTGAACCCCATTTTACTAGAATGCTGCTTAGTTGGTAACATAGCAACAAAACAATTATGGGTTATTGGTAAGGAAATTCAACATCCACCTCTAATAATAATAATAGGTATTACTTTCAGAGCAACCCCCATTTAAAATAACTCCAATGCTATGTAGCCAATAGCAAGTTTCACACTTGTTGCAGCCTGACCAATCAGTGTGTATGTGTGTGTTTTAACCATTTAAGTTAACTTAATTTTGTCCTGAAATTTGCAAATTTTTGAGATTTTTCAATTTTTGGTCATTGGTGATTCCACCTTTTTAAATTTTTTTTTTCCCCCATATATAAAATATTTTAACTATCTTTGGTTAATTCTGGTGTTTCTTTGCTGAAATCAATTTCAGGTCACTCAAAGTGGTGTCATTTGTAACAGTTAAACTAAGTTTTTGTGTATTTTCATTTTTTTTTTTTTTTTTTTTTTTTAACTTTTTATACACACTTCAATATGGAGAAGGATACTTTATTTAATGGTGCAGCCGACCAACATTTATAAAAGACATCACTTTGAGTGACTTGAAATTGGTTTTGGCAAAGGAACACCAGAATTAACCAAAAACTGTTTGTTTATATAAACATATATGATCCTTGAAAACGAATGTAGCAACATTCTAAAGTAATCTGGAGTGCAGGGGGAGAAAAATATACAATCGTCCCAATCTTCAAATAGTACTTTTAAAAATGAATTGAATAAAACTGTTTAGCAAGCAACTGGTGACTGGAAAAGTTCATTTGTGATAATTTTACAAGTCATACTAATTTACTAATTCTTTATGCTTTTTGCTAATTACTTTGCATGTTTTTGTTTTTTTTTTTTTAAATTCTTTAAAAAATTTTTTCGTTATTTTTTATAGGTATTGCTTTCACTGATTTACCAGTAAGTAGTTTTTTGTTTACATTTTTATATTGTGAATTGTTGTTTGCTGACAGATTACATTTGAGTTTTATTCAAGTTTTATGTAAATAGAAAAATAGCTGAGAAGATTGAGTATGTTGGTAGACATTGCATTTATCTTTACATTAACTTGAATACTGACTTTTCTTTGTTTATATGATTAGTAAAGTGGTTAGCTCAATGGATCATGGTAGAGTGGAAGAAGGGTCAGAGAGGAGTGGTGTTTCTTTGTACCTGCCTGCCTTCTGATTAATAGACTGAGTCATACATGTAATGAAATAGGAGGAGACAGCTGGGATGACATTGCAATTGTGGTGTTATCCTATTTTTCTTTCACCTCTTTTTCTTATTCTTTTGCCTTCAATTGCTATTAGTTCCAATTTAAAGAAATAAAAGTTTTTTCTCAAAAGAAGAAATTACTTTCTTCAATAATAGGGTGGTAGTGTCTTGTTATTTGTCCTACTGTTTAAGGGTTCAACCCAGAGATTACCATAGCAACAGTCTCTAATATATGATGTCCACAGGTATTTTCAGGTTTGAAAATAGGACCTTTTAAATTCAGTCCATTATTGTTAAACCTTTCACAAAAGATGTGTGTCCATTATTTTGATTCTCTCTTGAGTTGTGGCCAGATGAATAATTGTGAAAATGTGCTGAAAGACATCACACCTGCTTTCTGACATTTCAGGTGCAAATGGAAAATTTTGTAAATATGTTCAAGCATAAACAACTTGTCAGTTTGAGACACTCTGGAGATTGTCTAAGAAAAAGAGAATTAAAATATTTCCCTTTTCTCTGCTTACATCACCTAAGTCAGGGCCAGTGCAAGGGTCACGTACCCCTCCCCCTTCACACTATACTGCATATCAGTTTTCATCAGGTAGCATTCATATAAAATACAAATTTTATTATAACTTAATTATGTACAATAATGGATCATATGCAATATCGGTGAACAGTTCAACAAGAAAAATTGAAAATAAATAGTGTATTTAAATACAAATTAGAGACATGCCATAATAGACTATTCCATCCTAAATAAATCAACAATGTCTGGTGGCAATTTTTAACATTAACTTGAGAATTTTCTTGTTAAAACATTGAATAATTTTAACACATTTAACATTATGAATAAAAAAAAAAAATAGTGAATATTATATAGTGTTATTTCATGATTTATCATGAGCAAAACAAATTCAGATTTGGATGAAAAAAACAAATGAACCCCAGAATGACATCAAAATCCAAAAATTGTTCATCTTTGCTTAGTTTAATTTGTAATGCATATAAATGTTAAAAAATGAAAGAAAATGTTAAGATAGAGAGGGTCACAAAAGCATTGTCCAGAGCCCCAATCGGTTGGTGAGTTCAGGGGTAGTATGCACCGGCCCTGACCTAAGTCATAAATAAATATAGCTGATTCTGTTTAACCTTTAGATATGGTAGATGAATAAATATTGAAGGAGATCTTTGATATATAAAAAAGATTTTTTCTTCTGAGATAACAAACATTTCTTTGTGCTGCTGAAAAGTGTCAAGGAGCCATTTCATATATGATTCCTTATTTGGGAATTGTAAAAATTGCATGAAACTGTCAGTAGCTGAGAGGTACATGTGCAGAAAAGTTATTAAATTTTATTCTCTTTATTTTGTTTTCTTCCTTATTACTATGTTCGTGCTTTCTTGTACAATTATTCTTTTATAGGCTGTGTCCCTTCAGGGCATAAGAAATCATGGCTATCCACAATTTCCTGTCCTTTGTAGCACTTAATAAAGTTTGTCTTTTTGCTATCTCCCCTAATCCCTGTTCTGTTAGCCATTCACACAAGCCCATTAGGCAGGTTATGCGCTGCTTTCCTCTTGCTTTCAATATGTCTTGTGAGTGTCAAATTTTCTAAGCTCTCTTTTCTCATTATGTGCCCTAGTAATTTTAACTATTTCTTTCTGATTCAAAGTATAAGGCTCCTTTTTGTTTCCATTTTCTTTCAAACTTCATCATAACTTCATCATTGCTTGCAGTTTGGTCCATAGTATTCTCAGTATCCTTCTGTAGAATCACATTTCTGTTGCCTCAAGTCTTTTTCATCTGTGAAGAGATCATTCAACATTCACTGTCTTATAGAAGGATCAAATTGTCTTTGTTCCTAATGAAATTTTAAAGATGTTCTTTGTGGATGAGGATTTTTTTTTTTTTTTTTTTTTTTAATGTTCACCCAATACAAGGCCAAAGGGCCACTCAAAGTAGAGGGTTGCTGTGTGGAATTGTATTAGTGTAAGAAAGGGAAAGATAACAAGAAAGTGACAACTAATTCTACACTTGAAGAGAACCAGGTTTAATTAGTGAATAAAATTTCAGAAATCAGGCAGACGTTAGGATTATAGAGTTGAAGTAGACTTAAGAAGAAACCAGTCACCCAATCCTAAACAGAAAACAAGGGATGAACCTCTACTCATGTTCAAAAGACCAGGGGAAGACTGTGAATAGTAATGATGATAGGCAAACTTATCTACTCTTATCGGTAGAGGAAAAAAATTATAATTACTGAATAAAATTTCAGATGGAGATGCCTGAAGTACAGAGTTGAAGGAACAGGAAACAAGGTATAAACCTTGTTGAAAACCAACAAAAAAAAAAAAAAAAAAAAAAGAGTGAGGAGTATGAACCACACGATAAGTGAACCTATCTATTCCTATTGGAGGAGGAGAGAACAAAAAATTAGTGAAAAACAATTCCGGGTTCAGGCAGAGATGTTAGGAGTATAGAATTGAAGTAGACTTTAGAAGGCACTAGAAACCCATTCCTAAACAGGGAACAAGGGTCAAACCCTACCCCCTGTTCAAAAAACTGGGGACGTGTATGAACAGGTTCGAATCCTGCCAGAGAGCAAACTTTCTTTAGTAAGTTTTCTGGAGTGTGCATGTCATTAATCAAAATAAATGCTGCTTAAAATAAAAAAAAAAAGATTTTTTTAAAAATAGAGCATCTATTCAAATACTAAACATCGCATTAAAAAAAAAAAAAAAACACACACACACACACACACACACACACACACGCGGTGCGATGGGTAAATTGTCGCCAACATTCCAATATGAACATTTCAGAGTATTTGGCTGTCAACTTGAGGACACTGCAGAGGATTCAGAAAAATTTGGATGATTACAAAGGTATGGCAGCTTGGAAAACTTACTCTGATAAGAACTCCTGGATTTGTTGGTGAGGACCTCAGACTCAACATGAGACCTACATAAAGTGCCTTGAGGAGGTAGTGCTGCCCTGGGTCAAGAGGGTGGCTGCTGGAAGTCCCTATGTCTGGCAACTGGACTCTGCACCATACCACACAAGCAGGAGAACCCAGTCATGGCTGTCAGACAATTTCTGCGACCATATCACCCCTTACATCCAGCCACTGAACTCCCCAAACTACAACCCTTTTGATTATTATGTGTGAGCAAGAGACCAACAAAACTCTTTGTAACAGTAAAGATGAACTGAAGGCAATGATTATGACAGCATTCACCAACTTAAAACAAGGAGATTGTCCAGAAGAGTTGCAGGAGATTTTGAAGTTGTCAGAAGGCTATGGTTGAAGCCAATGACGATTTTATTAAATAAATTTACTCTTTAGTATTTGTGTAATTTTGCTAAATATATCTGTTAAAATGAGATGTCAGTGTTATTTTCATTTTTGTGTAATTTAGACAACAATTTATCCATCACACCGTGTGTGTATGCATGCATACACACACACACGCAAAACATTAGACATATTAATATCAAGGAAATACTCTTTTTGTACCAAATACAAAGTGCTGATAGGAATTTTTCAACTTAAAAAAATAAATGGAGAATGTTTGATTTCTGGGACAAAATAATCATACCATGGAGAAAATTGTTTTTTCTAAATAAGCCTTTTACTGGAACAGGGAGGGAGGGATTGAAGGAATACTCGCATCAGATACTTAATGTATTTATTTTCCATTTCAAACGCTTTATTCTATCTTCACCTATTAACTGTGTTAGAAATTTATTTACAATTGAACCATAGAACTGTGATAATGGAAGTGCTTACTTTATTATATAGATCTACTCTCAAGTGTTTAAAGTGGATCTAACAAAATAACACACTCCAATTTAATGGTGATTGTAAAAGTGTATTAATTTATGTACCATTTTTCATATCTGTATTCTTGCTTCATAGGCAATTACTCAGCTAGAAATGAAATGTTAATTCCACATTTAAATATATCTCCTTCCTATATTTATTCAAAATAAAAGTAAATGTTCCATAACATTCCTGTTCCCTTTTTGTATGAATGACCTCAAGGCAAAATCATTAAATTCTTGTTTCATTTTAATTTCCCTTAATTGTGTCACTTAGTGTAGCTGTTATCATTTAATTTGATGTAATCATGTGCATTGTCTTGCCATTTACTTTTGAAAGTTTCTTTATCTAGATTCTAATGACTCTGTTTGATGAACTAAAAACCTTGCTAAATAACTCTCTTTGATAGGATTGTCATTAAACTTGTCATGGTTAATTTAAGCTTGTGAAGAAAATATCACAGCATTGTATCGGGAGCTGATGAGTCATTATTAGTGTTCTTTTTTGAAAATTTACTGCAATCTAACAGATTAAAATTACCAAATTACATAAAGACTTTTTTTATATTTATTTATTTATTGATGTCTTTTTTGGAATGCAGCTCATGTCATGTCTTAAGAAATAAGAGAATATCTGGCAATCTTGGACTTTGAGACCCCCCACCACCACCACCACCACTTCCCAGACATGTCATAAGGAAAATTAAAAAAGTGATGATTAGCATTGTAATAAAACTTAAATATGATGAAATTGAATTGATACATATTTTTGTTCCTGAGAATTTACAACAAAAATAATAAACACTATTAGATTATTTATTTACAAGAATAATTTTATATTTACAACATTCTAAAAAATAATACAATTAGAACTAATGCAATGCAATATTTATCATTTTAACAATTTATTAAGAAATAAATAAGGAAACAATTTTTTTAATAAATTTTTAAACATTTACTAAATTATTAAAATATATGAACTAACTATAGGGAAATCCTTATTTACCATTTTATAAAATTTGAATCGATTGGCAATTAGCCGATGTTTTACCAACCATTCCAATAAACAATCTAATAGTGTTTTTTTTATTTTTGTTGTCAATTCTAAAGCACAAAGAAAATGTATAAATTAATTCTCACATCTTTGAGTTTGATTAAAATTCTTATCACTTTTTTAAATCAATAAACATTGACAATAAGTGAAGGTAGTTAAAATAATAGTAGTGTCAAGGGAAAACTGTCCTTTTGACACTTTTTTTGTGAGCACAAAAGGTCCAAGATAGTTGAATATTCTATTCTTTGTAGTGCAACTTTGTAAATATTAGAACCTTACATTTAGTTCTTAAAGTTAATTTATTTTCAACAACTGTATGCATGTGTGTATGTTTTCAATTTTCTATAGATACTTATTTAAATTTACATGTTAACAAAAAATAAATAAATAAATAAATTTGCTTTTTTTTTTTTTTTTTTTTTTTTTTCCCACATTTTTTTCCCCCACCTTACTTCATTTCAGCAAAATCTCTACCCAACAGTTGGTCTTCAGACTCCTGGTGAAGTAGTAGAAGCAAATTTTGGACAGTCTCCATTTGTTTTTGATATTGATGATTATATGTGGGTAAGTAAATAGCATAAATATTTATATCTCAATTTTGAACCCATTTCTTATATATATATATATATATATATATATATATAGTTGGATTGTTGTGAATTTGTGACCCTGGTTTTCATGCTATTTGTGATTGTCAGACAAAGAGTTTGTCTGACAATCGCAAATAATGGGAAAGCCAGGGTCACAAACTCACAACACTCCAACTAAAATATGTTAGCTCTATCACTTATATTGTGTGCTTTCCAATTAGTACTGTGCATATATATATATATATATATATATATATATATATATATATATATATATATATACACACACACATTTTTATGTATGTATGTATATGTATATAAAATGCATATTTAACTTCAAAAAAAAGCTTTTCAATTTCTTCAAAAAGTATCTTTTAATTAAATGTCAGCAATGATATAAATATATAAATGGTAATTCATTGGAGATATGCAAATTTTGCTTGAAACTTTATTTTATAATTTGGTTTTAAAAACACCAAACCAGACATTTTTTTTTTTAATAGCGATCATCCTACTTTAGAATCTATAATAACTGCATCTACTCTGAGAAGGAACTTGAATATATGTGGCCTGGCAAGAATCTTTCTTTAAAATTTGAGTCAGACAAGTGAATCTAAATCTGATTAAGGAGTATTATAGGCATTGATAAGATGGAAATTTTTTATAATGGAGATGAAATATATTGTAAAAGTAGTAACAATAACGAATGGCATGGGCCTGGTGTTGCGAATGGACAGGTTGGTGAGCAAATATTGGTGCAACATAGTGGTATCTCTGTATGGGTTCATTCATATCATCCGACTTTGAATGAACACCGAAATATCAAATTGCCAATGCAAAGGGAGTAATCCATAAGTACAAAATTCAGGACGCCATAATGATGATAGTAGCAACCATTACCTTCCTATATAGAATATGTCTGTGGTAATATTAATGATGTCAACAATAATAAAGTAATTCAATTTAAAGAATCAGAAAGCAGCAAAATCATGTTGCTGTGGAAATGTTAAAGAAAAATAGTGACATTCAGACTAATTTTTGAAATCATGAACTTCGATAGTGGTGACTATATTTCTTGTAGAATATTGTGTAGAACTGGAAAAGTTACTGGCAAATACAAATGCTGTTAAATGTGATTCTGCTGGCAGGTCTGGTGAGATTTGACTGGTCAGGTGTGATGAAAAACAAAGGAATGTGAAATGATCAACTGGAATGTTAATTATGTGTATGAGGAAGTTAAAGATTCAAATTCAAATGTTATGTCTGTGACATGGGTTATTGAACATATAAATAATAGCATTCTTATTACCAAAGCTAGATTGGTCAGCTATGGATTTGTGGAAGACAGCCAATCTGTATTGATTTGCTAACATGTTCAAAGGAAGCAGTTTGCCTTGCTATTTTCTTAGCATTTAAAAAAATTTTTTTTTCTTTAATCATTTCACCCCAAGCAAGGTGACATCAAACATTAAAATCTTGACTTGAAAGAAACCATATGTAAAACCATTACCAACAAATGGCAAGAATCATGGAATAAGTGCACACAAAACAAACTCCAAAAAATCCAAACCACAATTGGAGCATGGCCTCTAGGATATAGAAAGAGGAAAGAGACCAGCTATATTTCATATTGGCCACACTCAACTAACCCATTCTTTTCTAAAAAAAACAAGGAAATTCCAATACATACATCATACCAGAAACCATATACTATCAAGCACATATAGACTGTACTGACTTTGACGGGGGAAATTCTATAAAAATGTAAGTCCTTAACAAGGTTTTCAGACAAGCCAACCTGAATAACATCCTTAGCTTTTGCACAAAGATGTAATCTCTCACAACCCCTGATGTTTTTTAGAAGCTCTTTAGCCAAAAGACTTCTCTCTAAAGAATTTAACTACAAACTTTCTTACAAATCATAAGTATATTAAATAAAGGATTTGGCACTAAGATGGTCAACACAGGTTGATGTGCCATTAAACAAGAATAACACCAGACCAAGCAAAATCATAAAGCCACCTGGGACACAAAGGCTTACCAAGAGTGAAAGAAACTGGGAAAATGGTATTGTGGAAAGAAGACAATAAAAGAACTGAATTTAAGATGATTATTAACATTACAATTAAAATTTTGAAGATCATAGTTGAAGATCATCTCTAGATACATAGCAGAAGTAACAATACTTCTTTCATGAAAGAATGGTAGATTTATAAAGGTTCACGATTTATTCTGTCAAGGAAAAATTGTCTAGTATGACATAGTGAACTAACTTTCCTAGTAGAAGACTTCACTTCATGTCAGTTGAAAATGTTATACCTGGAAGATGCAACAAGTTACTTTTCTGGGGGTTAGCATCAGTCATAGAGGGCAAAAAAAAAGGTTCTCTAAGGCAATTAAAAGAGAATTTTAGCTTTGGAGGCATTAAAATTAACATGCCATTTCTTGCCCCAGTTAACAGATTGAAAGCCATCTTCAAGATCAGCTTCCAATTTGACTTTATTAAACCTCTCAAGCTTACCGTTAAGACAGGAGTAAATAGTTGCGTCATCAACATAGATACAATGTCGAAAAAATTAGGAACAAAGTAGGTCCAAGGATAGAACCCTGGGGAATGGCCACATTAACAAAAAAAATCTAGTTGCCATTAAGACTACTTTCATTTTGCAATTTGATAAAATTGAATCAAATCAAGAATTCAAAAACCCTTCAACTTTTGAAGACCAGCATTCCAAACCCTGTCAAACATGAATTGGAATGATATTAAAGAGCAAACAACTTGTGCTTCACCATTCTTATCTGAAACAGGTCAGCCTCTTTCAACACTAACCATTAACACATCAGTAGTTGACCTAGAGAATATAGTTTAACCAATTCAGTTGATTAGAGCTTCTTATACTTTGCAAAAAAAAGGTAAAAGACTAATATAATAGGTCAATAGTTCAAAGGATCAGCCATTTTGCCTGAGTTCTTAAAACGGGCACTACAGAAGAGGATTTCCAACAAGCTGGAAGGCAAGAAACAGCAAGGCATTTATTATAGAGTTTAGAGAGAACAGACTCATTCAAGAGTACATTTGCAGGGATACTAACGAGTCTGCATGCTTTTTGGTTACCTTTTAATCTGCTTGTTATCATACCATATCTGTATAGACTGTATACTGAGAGGGTAATAAAATCAGACAAGACACCCCCTCCACAAAACATCACCTGAGTTTTACAATGGCATGCGATGGAAATTAATGAAAATGTATGTTAATGTGTTCTTTTAGGCTGGCATTGATACATTTGAAAAATTTGTTTGTGATTAAAACTTCTGTATGTCCATCCTCTCAGTATGTTGGTCGTAAAATTATCTCAACCTGTGATGCCATAACTGGAGACTAGTTTCAATATGAATCATTACCTCTTGTTATCAGTTGTCTACATGCTGTGCAGAAAACCAGTGAACCATTTTAATCTGAAAAAGATGATTACAAAGTCTTGATTATTCAGCTCATTTAGATGGCTATTGACACAGGTGAATTAAGTATTAGTATTATCAAGTTTTACAAGGCAGCGGTTAAAGATTTATTAAAATTAAATAAGTTGATAACCTGTGCAAGCAATGATGATATAAAAATTAGTCTTCAATCAACTGGATCCTGTTCTCTTACTCAATCATGTTCCCTGTTATTCAAATGTTTCTTCTTGCTAATCTTCCCCAATTGAGAAGGTCAATGTTTTCCTGTTTACTTGCAAACTAGACAAATTCAACTATTTATCAACCTTATCTTTTGAGGCAGCAGTTTACAATAGTGCTGGTGGTTTTAGTATAAAGCAATCAGGTGACAAAAGAAAAGACAATAGATTATTTACCAATATGAAAGGACATTTAACAATGATCTATAAATACAATTTCTTGTTTTTTTGTTCATATAAATTTATAACTTTCTTTGGTATTATCAGTGAGAACTTTAAAAAATGCAGTAAAAATTCATAAGAATATTGGTAGCAGAAAGAGTTCCTGATTTTATTAGAAAGAAGGTTACTATAAAAGTAGGTATTTCCACTAATTCACTGAAAAAACAGCATAGCATTATGAAAAAAAGGCCCCAAATCTAATAAAAACAAAGTTTTATTGTCGAAATGTTTATTATTAAAAGAAAAGACCAAAGTATTTTTTATTTTATAAAATTTTTAATCCTTTCTATCATGTTTGAAATTTTGGTTAAAATTCTTTTCCTTTTTTTTTTTTTCTTTTTTTCTTTTTTTCTTTTTTTCTTTCTTCTTTTTCTTGGTTAGCAATCAATATAATATTTATGATTAGTGTTTTAGTACCTTTTTTCTGGTGAAAAAAAATTGATTTGTAAATTCTTACAAAAATCAAATTGTTGGATTTTAATGAAACTTTCCTGACTTATTCAAAATGAATGAAGTTGTCTTTTTTTTTTTTTTTTTTTTTTTTTTTGAATTTTTGAAAAAAAAAATTTTTTTTTTTTTATGCTTATGTTACCCCTCAATTAATTTCATGACATTTCGGGATTTGTTTTATTAGTTAAATGTAAGACTCTTGGAGAATGTAAATCATCAAATTTTTTTTTTCTTTTTCTTCAAACTGTTACTCATTTCCAGGAAATCTGCTCCAAATCGTAAAATAAAAAATGCAATAAAACTGACATTATTTAATTAGAAAACTTTTAACTGCTTTTATAAATAAGATTTAAGAAAAAAAATTTTAGGATGAATAATGAATTTTTACATGAATTGTTTTAATTTTTTTTAATTTCAATTATAATAATTTATTACAATTTAATTATAATAATTTAAAAAAATTTTTTTAAATCTTAAAATTCTAAATTACTTTAATTGCATTAGGTGATATTATTAAGTGAAAACTATATTTACTAATCAAAAATTGAAAAGCTTAATACAAATCATTTTGCACCAATATGTTTAAAATAATTTTTTTATCGATATAAAATATTATGTAACGTGTACATTTTTGGAAGTATGGTCAACCATACCTGACATCAGAAAATAAGAGTGATGACTAGTAAATTTAAAGTCAACATTCCTAAAAATTAAATTATGAAGAATATTTTCCAACATTTTTATAAAAATTATATAAAAAGTCATTTTCTTAAATTATGTTTTACACAGTCTCTGTAGAACAACAATCAATGTCACCACCTGTAAATCACGTAAAACATGGCAACTGTTGGCTAAAAACACAGATACTGTTTGTTTTAAAAATACATTTGTGTTATTTTAAACTTAAAATAATATTTGTTTCAAATTAATTATACTTTAAATCATCTAATATTCCTAAATAAATTTTCAGAAAACTATATTTTATTTTTGGAATTCAATTTAAGACAGAGAATTACATTGTGATGAAAGATGACAAAAGAAAAGGGTGTTCATCAGCTATTTTAGGAAAAAAAAAAAATTGATTCCAATCAATATAATTTCTGTTTGAAGTACACCAGAGTATTTTGTTTACTGGAAATAGTAAATTTAATCCTTTAGCTTTCAAGTATAGCATCAAGAAAGCGTTTCATTTTTTAAAATTCATTTTAAACCTTAGGTATCATGTATGTCCCTATATAAAAACAGTACTGGTGATAATAATAAAACAGTGCTTTGTAATTTAATCCTGATGATTTCTCTGTTTGAAACTTTGGCTAATAGCAAGCCATGAGGAACAACTATATACATACTAAAATTAATTATATATCTATGTAATTAATACAAGTAAAAGGTTTGTCAATTAACTGATTGATGTTACCTTCAGCATCCCAACTTCAGAGTTTCAGAGACTGCTCTTTTTGGGAATCTTTCCATCCACTCAGCAATTGACTACTTACACTTGATTTTTCTTTTATTTATATGCACTTTTCATTGGTGCAAATTTTTTTTTTCATTTCATAGTATGTGCATTTGCACCTGTGCCCATATGTAGAATGTTGTGGTTATTTGTCCATTTCGTCATTTTTCACTTTACACACACTCCTTAACCTATCCTCTCTTTTTCCTCATTTCTTTCAATTGCAGCCCATTTGATTTCTGGTTTTCTAGACATATACTGTCATTGTTAATTCTTGAGCAATATATATATATATAAAATGAGCATTTACACACACACACAATATATATATATATATATATATATATATATATATATATATATATATAAATAAAAAAACTATTTTTTTTAATCTCTTAGGAATGGCGTATGAAAACCAGATTAACAATAGAAAGGTTCCCCGTTTCGGACAGGAAAGGAGAATGGCAAACTGCTCTACAAAGGTTTGTATTTTAATTCCATTAAGTGGTGTAACTTTCTTGATTTCTTCTTCCGTCCCCCACTTCCAGGTGGTGATCAGGATAATCAGAGTCAATTGATATGCTATCTTCAAAAACTGTCTAAAATAAATTGTTTATATTACTAAATTTAGATATGAATTGATTATAATTGCAAGAAATAAGGATGTTGCTAAATCTCAAACTTGACTTTAATAAAGCCATGACCGAGAATTGAATACAAAATAAATGACTTGTGAAACTGGAATCAATACTGCACTACCAAGAAGAGTATTAGACTCTGGTAGATTTGTTTTTAAATACCTTCATCTGTATACAAAAGATATACAAGAGTACAGTTATTATTGTTCAATATTTTGTCACTTGTCAGCTCAACGTAAAAATATGGGCAAGTCATAGCACCACAGCTGGCAATACATTGTCACCCATTGTACTAAAAAATGGTTTTAACTTTAAATAAAAATATTTTTGTATGCTTTTATTTAATTATATATATATATATATATAGATCCGACAGCATGATGAAAAATATATCGGAAAAAAACAAACAAAAATCATATACACAATTTATACTGTTTTAATGTTAATATGTCAGCGTTGTATTGTGGTCTAATAAACCATCTTCAGGACATATTCATAAATTATAACATTATCAATACAACATGAAAAGGCGATGTACATGACATATTAACATTAAACAGTATAAATTGTATATAAGTTATTTTTGTTGTTTTTTTTCCGTATATATTTTTCTTTATATATATATATATATATATATATACTCACACACACACAATTCTTAGAAAGTGGGATTTCTTGTTAGTAAAGTGGCTGGTTATTTTTTCTTTGTATATACATAATACAGGTTTACAAACAAAAGTTAATACCCATATTGTTTTTTATTTAACTGAATTTCATTTCCCGAGTTGTGCAGTTTCTGTACTACTTAATATCTACTCAATGCAATCTATGTACTTTCTCCATTTATTATTGTTATCAACTTTTATTAATGCACTCCTTTTGTACACAGAAGCTTTGAAGCAAGGCAATAAAGCTACTAAGATGCAAGGGGTTACTGAGTGTTAGAAAATGAGAAGTACTGCTATTAAGGAGTGAGGACAATAAAAGAACAGAAATTAAGAGACAGTAATGATTGACATTAAATTTTTGAAGATCAAAGTTGACTGGGAATCTGGGAGAGTGTTCCACAAGTTAGAAGTGCAATTGAAGAAACTATTAGCATAGAACTTATGATTACATCTAGGCATTTCAACTGTAATGTGATGAGACCTTGTTGTCAATTTAGTACTACACTTGGTATCATAAAGGAAAGTTCATCAGAACAATTACCATGAAAATATTTATTGAAATATTTATCATTCGATTCCCACAATGTCATGAAAAAATCATAAGTGGTGACCCAGACACATACCAGCAGGAAATGATCAATATCAAGTGTACCCTTCAGAAAATCAGCTATCCTGCAAATGTAACATCAGCGTCCGCAGTTGGAAGCAGATGGGTCAAAGAGGACTAGAAAATTGCTGTGGTCTATCTGCTTTATGTCAAAGAATTATCAGTAAAGATCTGCAGTCCCTACAACATCATAGCAATATTCAAAAATGGTACCACTCTACAGAGAAATCTCTGCTGAGTCTAGTCTAATCTGGAAGAGAACATAACCAAGAACTGTGAGTACTCCATTCCTTACAGTTGTGGCAAAAAATATAAAGGTAAGCCTAACTGCCTCTTTAATGTGTAAAGCTGGAAGAACATCAAAAGCCATAGCGAGAGGAGAAATAATGAAATCGAGCATGGCTGATCATGTGTGGTAAGAAAAGGGTAGTCATCATCTCTTGTGGAATGAAGTGAAAATACTGAACAAGGAAGAACACTGTAGAGATTTCTGTAAAAGACTACTGAAAGAATCTCCCTAGTAGGCTTAGCATAGAAATAAATAATATGGGAACCAGTAATAAAGACAAATGTCAGCAGTTCTTCATCAGCAGCAGCTGTAATAAAAGGGAAGCTTGTTAGTGCAGGCAGGTTAGGTTTAAGGCTCCAAGTTCAACATACAGAAATGTCCCACAAGACAATAACTTGGTGGATTAAATTGTTGGTTTGTGAATTTGGTTACATAGCAATTGTGAGTTTAATCCCTGGGCCTGGCAGTGTACTTGGACTCTGTGGAAATGAGGTGAGCAATAACTAAGCAGTATTTAAAAAAAAAATAAATAAAAGGAGATATCTCTAGACATGGGCAATGGAACAAGAACAATCTACCCCTCTAAATTAAATAAGGGGTTCAATTTGAAATTCTCTGTAGGTTACCCAAATCGACATACACCTGAAATGTCGTGATAACAACAACAAAAATGAGGACAATTGTCTACATGTAAATGGGGTAAGTTATAATAACGCTGCCTCCCAGAAATTTGGACAGGGAATGTTTTCTGTCAAAAAAACCTTTAAATTTTGAAAATTTTGAATGTTACTGTTCAAAAATTAAAAAAAAAAAAATTTAATTCAGGTTCAAAATTTTCTAATAGACATAAGGATTATTTGAATATAAGATATTAATAAATTTATTACATGAAGGAATGTTTTCAGTTTTGATTGAAGCTTCATGAAAATAATACCTCAATCCTGTTAATTTTTTCTCTCTTGTTAGCTATCATTGAAACAAATTATTTTTTAAGTTAGTCAGGATTGTTGCTTTAAATTAATCCAAACCTTAGGCCTTTTTTTTTTTTTTTTTTCAATAGCGCATCAGTCTGATATTAAATATGCCATAAATGTTTTGATCCCTGTTCAATTGGCAATTTGTTGGTTTACTAAATATCATTTGAATTGGATTTAATAATAAAAAAGTAATTTAACCCTTGTTTTAAATTTGGTGTAGGTAACTAACAACTTTAATACATTTCTTAAAAAAAAAAAATGAGTTTTTAATCTAATTTAATTTTATCTACTTATTTTTTAATGATTATGGAAAAACTGTTTTCATGTAAAGCAAACAACATAAACAGGAAAATATTCTCTTCAAAACAATAGTGTATTTGTTAATCTCTTTTTGTTTTGTATTTCCTTTTTCTTTCTGTAGAATTGTATCCACATATTTAGTCCACCATGGCTTCTGTTCAACTGCTGAGGCCTTTGCAAGATCTGCTGGTCAATCTTTTGAAGAAGAAATTACTTCAATAAAAAATAGACAAAGTAAGTTATGGATTCACTGGGATTCTTTTTCTCTCTTTTCTTCCAATATATTTTTCTATTTTAATTTCTTAAGAATGCTGTTAATCGTTTTAGATATTAAGGCTATCTTTTATTCCCTTTCAGTAGATATTAAACTTCTGCTTTTCAAATTCTGTTGTATCCAAATGTGTTGTGGTTTAATTGTTCACACTCTCTTCATTAGAATGTTGGACCACCTTCAGTGGTTTGCTAAAAATGTTTTTTTCATCAAAATACATGTCTGTCTTTTTGACAACATGATAGCATACTTTTTCTGTTTTTGTTTTAAAGTATAGTGTCTTTTTAAAGTCAGATTTCCTCTTTTTGGGTTAATAAATGCTACCAACCTTTACTCACCTGCAGATATTTTGAAATGAACAATGGCCTAAAATTTAGGTTTGCCAGCAATTAACCACCCTTCACAATTACTCTATCGTCTATTTAGACATTAATCTTTAGCTTTATCAGTTTATCTATGTTTACTGGATTTAAGATATGAAATATTCAGATAAATTTACTCCCACTTTTCGCATAAGATTTTATTTTACCCCAACCATAAGAAATTCAATTTGTTGAAAGGATTAAACTGAATTTAGTGATTTGGTTTAATGTTGAATTCACTTAGGTGTGAATAAAAAGACAAGATCCAAAAAATGTTGTCGGCATGAAATAACCCATTGAGGTTGATATGCCGTAAAACAAAATAAACCAAACCAATCTAAACCAAAGAATACATATTCTATTCATATGAATCTATCCTAAAAATGTTGTTGACATTAAATAACCCATTGAGGTTGATAGGCCATAAAACAAAATAAACCGAACCAATCTAAACCAAAGAATACATATTTTATTGATATACGAATCTATCCTAAAAATCTTGTCAGCATTAAATAACCCATAGAGGTTGATATGCCATAAAACAAACCAAACCATCACCGCCTCTCAAACCAAACCTAATGTTTTTATTAAAACAGAAATTCTTAAGCAGAAATTCACTTTTGCCAACAGTCCAAAAAGTGAGTTCAAGTCTCACTAACAAATACAGAAAACGAACAATGAGACATTAAAAGAACATATGGAAAATTTGTTCCTTTTATTTCCTTGAAGAAGGTCACAAGACCAGAAACATGTTTAGCAGAAATATGAAGAATATATATATATATATATATATATATATATATATAAGGCAGTGTGTGTGTGTGTAACGAATGCACGGCCGCAATTTTCGACGGATTTGCACCAAAATTTACATGCACATGCTTCAAGTTAGCGGGAAGGCCAAGACCGACTTTGCATTTCCCAACTCCCATTGATAGTTGAAATAATCAATTTTTTTTCATGCTTCTATGGCAGTTTTCATGTAGTCTGCGGCCATTTTCTACTGGCCAGAGTGAGAGCCTATAGCTGGCTGCCACAAATAGGCAGGAAGATTCTATTGGCCAGCGTGAGAGCCAACAGCTGACTGACATGAATGTTAACTAGCATGCAAAAAAAAATCGATAGCTGCATTCGTCACAAGTGGGAAAAATTTAAATCTGCATGGCACTATACTCCAATTGGCTCATTCGCTTGCTTAAACTCAACGTTGATTCTGATTCCACAGAACTGGGTTGGGTGTGAAAAAAGTATTTGTTGTTAAAATTCTTTTTTTTCATTCAGTTTTTCCAGTTATGAGTCCTTTTTTAAAGCTGATCGTTTTTGTGTTCATTTTGTTTAGTTCTTTTTTCGTAACAGATTTAATGTTTAGTATAGAGCTTAGAAAAATTAGCAGTGTGAGATAGGCAAGAAGTAAGGCATGTAGCAACATCAGCATGGCAAAGGGCACTCCTTTAAAGGCAAGGAAGGGCAAAAATATTTTAAGTCAAGTGATAGCGATTGCTGTATGAGTCGTACAATTTTTGAATCAAGCACGGTCAATGCCGGGCCATGCTGCTAGTATATACTAAAACAAATCCACATTATAACCAAAAACATTTGTGCTTTCTCTCTTTTTTAAAATATACATTTTTCTCTCATTGGAACAACTATAACCTTTTCCTATATATATATATATATATATATATATATATATATATATATATATATATCATGAAATGGATTAAGTTTGACAATTATTAAATATATTTTCTGTTTTAGACATTATTTTAATAGATACAATTTATTTAAGTAATTTAGACTTTGTTGACCAGATGCTTCTCTATAGCTAAGTGTGGTATAGCATAACAGATCAAATGATGGTTCCATATAAGATACAAGTTCAATTCCTGTCAAGAACATATTTTCTATAAGATTTCTTGAACATTCAGACTGGTAAATGTAATTAATACTGTTTAATTAAAAAAAACTGAACATTTACTTAAATAAATTGTATATATTAAAATAACATATAAACAATATATATATATATATATATATATATATATAGAACTGTTTATAAAATTTATATAATTTTTTTTCTTGTGCTATTTTGATCAGGTTGTAAAATCCTCATTACATCTTGATTCTAAATTTGCCCCAAAATTAAAATTTTACACACTTAGAAAGATGGTGTAAATTTTCTAAAATCATTTTTCCTTCCCTTCCTATTTATGCTTGTTATTTTGATTTTCAAGTTGGCAGCTTTTTAGTTTCTGCTTATGACCCCACCCCCACTACTTAGCAATGGTTGTTTGGTATTGACCAACTCAATCTATATCTTCTGTTTTTGTGTTTGTCCAGTTTTCATTATCAGTGGAATAGCTTTAGCCATTTTCTATAATAGTATTTATAAACTGCTACCTTTTTTTTTTTTTTTAGTCAACTTCTTTTAAAATTATCAAAATGTTATTTAAAAAAAAAAAAAAAAGCTTCAATTTTAGTTAAGTGACTAGCTTAATCTTTTTTATTCTTTTAGTTCATCATAGTCATAATACGGATCAAATTTTATAAAATCTCATATACTTCTAGTTTTCAAATTTACCCTCCCTTTTTTTCCTTTCACGACTTCTTTCTCCTATCTTTCTTTTATTTGCCTTTCTCAGTTATGTTGTCATATGAAAATAAATAGGCAGGTATTTGGAAATACATATGTGCGTGTGTGTTAGTGTAACCCCTTTTCACTGATGTATGAATAATCCTGCTAGTTGATTTTCAATCTATTTAGCCAAGAAATCTAACATTATAAAAGACATAATAATTGACTTTATGGTACTAAAATTTTTTTAGGGGTTCGGGGGATTTATTTCTTTTTAAAGAAATGTGTTTACTATTGTTTCTAATTGCAATTTTCAATTTTGTTTTTCAGGAATACAAAAATTGGTTTTAGCTGGCCGTATGGGTGAAGCAATAGACACAACACATCAATTATATCCAGGATTGCTGGATCGTCGAGCCAACTTATTATTTATGCTCAAATGTAGACAGTTTATTGAAATGGTGAATGGCACGGACAGTGAAGTACGTGGGGCAGCTATTCGAAGCCCCAAATCACATGGGGGGAGTGGTAGCAGCAGGTCCAGTCCAAGCATGAGCCCTAGCCACCACGGCAGTGGCTATAGTTATTATGCTCATAGGTCTGTGACACAGCAACAGCAGGGTAACTCAGCTGGCAACAGCCCAAACCGAAATATTATTACAAAAGGCCACAGTTCAGGAGGCTCACAAAACACTGATCAACAACAAACTTTGTCTGAATCAGACATGAATGCTGCCAATACAGCTATGAATGGTAGCAACAATGTCACATCAAGACTGATTGAAAATGAAGATGTGGAGATGAGCGATGGGCTCTCGTCCTCAGGAAATGGTACCATGAGCAATGGCACCGCAGAAGTTACATATGCTAATGGAAATACTTGTGATGATGAGGATATTTCAGAAGAAATGGGTAAATATCTTCTGCCCTCATCCTTTTTGTTAATATTGGGTATGAGACGGCAACTTCAAGCCCAAACAATATCTTTGTTTTGTTTTCTTTTTTTTTTTATGTGTTTCTTTCAACAAGATAAATTTGTCATTAATCCCCCTGCCTATATCTACTAATAAAAAGTTGAATTAAATTTCAATTCAGTATATGAGGTGGTATTGGAAAGTTCCTGTGCTTTTTTTTTCTGTGTGTGTGTGGTCTTTTTTTAATACTAAATAAAGTTTTATAACGTTATATTGGAATGGCTCTGCAATCTTTACAATGGCTGACAAATTCAGGCAATGTACCTGCATCAAATCTTGTATAAAGCTCAGTGAATATACTGCCGAGACCTTTGAAATAATTTGCCAGACTTTTGGAAAACATTCCATGGGTTGAGTGGAATGTGCATTTCAAGGCCAGTTGTGTGTTGATGAGCATTCAGAGCAACATATAATCAGCTGAACCTGAAAGAAACTTGTAGATTCATCCATATGGAGTGTCATGGAAAAATATACATACAACCTCTCACATAATTGGAATCTGTTCTGGAATTTGCTTCGATATCCTCACAGAAAACCTAAATAAGTGTTGGATTCCTATACAAAGTTTGTTCCCCCACCTTTTCAATCAAGAACTGTCACATTGTGACATGCCTTGAGCTTTATGAGAAGGTTAATGACAACCTGATTTTCATCCCTACAATTATGCCAAACAATGAAAGTTAGATTTACAGCTATGATATTTGAGGTTTGAAAAAAAAAACAAGTGTTGGGATTACTGTGCAAATTTAAGTAATATATGCAATAATTGCTTATGCATTGGTGTATTGATTTCTTTTTAAAAAAAAATTTATTTAAGGTTTTGTTTGGTAACTTTCCAATACAACCTCATCAGGAAATATGAAATGTGATAACATGTGTAGTAATTAAAATACATGCATTTACTTTTACCATACAGCATACTGTATCCTCATAATTTAAAATTGTTTAATCAAAAACACAGTGGTTTTATATATATATATATATATATATATATATATATATATATATATATATATATATATATATATATATATATAATCTGTTCTGCTTAGAAGAATTTCCTAGTTTTGGGCAAAGTTCAAACATCCCTTTCCAACTTTTCTTTCTCCAGTGGGTGAACTAGTCTTTGCATTAAATAACTCACAAGTGTTCACATGCTGCTAAATGGAAATAACTTAACCCAACCTATATTGTGGAGCATGCCAATGGATTACAGTTTAAAATAACCTATATTTTATAACTGGGTTTGCTCACATCAAGTGATTTCTTCAACAGTTTGATTGATCAAGACTTGATAAATATTTAAAAAAAAAAAAAAAAAATTGAAGGGTAGGAATATTTTTTATAATTCATTTTGTAATTTAAGGTCACTGAGAGCCCATCATTAAAGTGCATTGAGCGACAATCATAGTTCAGAATAATCCATTTAAAATACATCAGTATCAGGAACAGGTGTTTTTGTGTATTTTTGTAGAATGGAATCCTCTTTCAATTCCTCTTTACTGCCAGAAAAAGATGGGATATACTTTCTGTCAGTTGTGAAAAATAAATACAGTATTAATGTAATTAATTTTGCAGCAGTTAAATATTGTGAGTTAATTTTAAATTTGCCATTTCAACCAGTAAATGGATTTTCTTTTATAAATGAAAATGTGTCATATCATTTTATCTTGTGGTATAAAATTAATATTCTCATCAAATTTACCCAAATTAAACATTTTTAAAAGTTGGTAATTTTTTTTAATTTGGCGTATTAAGGAAATTGTAATTTACAATATCATTGAATTGGCATTAATATCTCATCTATCTATATATATATATATATATATATATATATATATATATATACACACACACTCTAAGTGAAATCAGCTAGATATAAAAATAAATTTTTAAAAGTTATAAAATTCACAACCTCCCTCATTTGTGCACGTGTGTAGTCATACCAACATTACAAATTTAGTCTGAAGGATGAAATGTGTCACAAGTAACCTTTTTCCACTTCCACTTTGTCATAAAATTTTCACTATATATATATAATGTGAAAAGTTTGCAAAGGCTGATTTGAAATACTGATTTTTGGATATCATTTGTTCTTACAGTGCTTCAGTTCCTTTTTCAAAATAAAACTTGAGTATAATTGTAATACAGAAGTAAATTAGATATTTTTCTTGTTTTCCAATCATATGCAATGTCTACATAATGAAATATTTATCAATGGTTCATTAGAACTGCTTTGCTTTCATCACTGTGCTAACAACACAAAGAAAATCTGAATTTACAAAGTGGATGATGACAAAATCCTCAGCTCAATTCACTTCCCAAAAAACTGACCCAATGACAAAACTTTTTTTCAGCCGTTTCTTAAAAAACTGGTAAAGCAACAATCACGAATTGTTTTTTTTTTTTTTAGGCAAATTGCATGTGACTACTGAAAGTTTTTATATATATATATATATATATATATATATATATATATATAAATTATAAAACTTCACAGTGCAAGAGAATCCATGTCTTTTTGATGTTTCTTTAACAAAATGCCCTTGTTCTCTGAATGATTAATGTTTTACTATTTTATGAGATGTTTCAGTGTGCAAAATCTCCTTTGACACTAAAACAGGTTATGTAATGATTGTAAACCTTTTGTTTTCTGAAAAGCTAATTGCCTTCTGGTAGTAACTTGATTTAGTTTTTGAACTCTCATACAATTCAATAAGATATCCTTGAAAAGGACTTTTTTTTTTTCGTTACTATTTGTTTCGAATGTAACTTTAATGTAACCATATGCACTCTTAATAAAAGTAGCAGGACTTGGACATTAAGTCAGATTCTTAGTGTCAAGGTTTGCATGATTATGCTAGCATTAAAAGACAGATATATATATATATATATATATATGTGTGTGTGTGTGTGTATATACATACACACACAAATTGCCTGTAGAAGTAACTAATTTGATGTGATTAAACTTTTAGCTCATGGTTAAGATAGAAAATTCCATTGTCACTTGACATTAAATAATAAGCAGACCAAAAAGTAATATTTGTTAATTGTCCTTTATCCACTTCTATTGAAATTTTCTTTAAAATTATGGATGATAAGGTTTTCTTACATAATTTACTGTAATTCAATTTTGTACTTATAAAAAAAATCTGATGATTATTTCTGCTATTCACTTGAGCTGGTAGCAAAATGTTTTATTGTTTTGCTTTTACACAGAAATATTAATGTAGAAAAACATTCTTAAACATTAGGGTTGTTTTTTTTGTTTTTTTGCAAGATGTTTTGTGGTTTGTTTCACTATCAGACTTGAAAAATAATTTTCAAAATTCTAACAGACAAAAACCATAATAACCAAAGTGTCGTACAGGATGTGGCAGAAATACCTCCCACATAATGGCAAAAATTGGGTATTTCTGCTATACCCTGTATAATTGATTTTTCTGTTTGTTTTCCTCAAATCGCAAACTGCTTACCTGGGAGTAAATCTTTCTCATAGTTACATTCAATAGCATAATTTTTTTTTATATAGTGCTATTTTCTAAAGCCAGATAAAAAAAAATTAATGTGATATGTCTAAGTTATCATAAAGTATCTCAATGAAATATGATTCTAAAATTGAGAATTTTGCTTTGTCAATTCTTGACTACTTATTTTTTTTTAATTTTAAAAATTTTCCTTCATTATAGGATGAGAACTGAAGTGCCTATATAAATTCTAGACAAGAAAGCAATAAAAACAGGAGATCCCTCCCAACCACTTTAAATATTGTTTTGGGGTGTTCATCAAATCTGTTACTTATCAATTTTAAATATATTGAAGTAAAACCTTTTCCTACATTGATCTCTATACAAAGTTTTCTTTCTTTAATTTTTCTACTTCTCTATATTTTTTTTGGTTATGATTTTATTTTTTGCCAAATTTGTTTACAGATAAATTGACTGGTAAATTTTGTATCTCCTATCTATAAAAGGCAGGATGTGTGTGTGTGTGTGTGTAATGAATGCACGGCCACAATTTTCGACGGATTTGCACCAAAATTTACATGCACATGCTTCAAGTTAGCAGGAAGGCCAAGACCGACTTTGCATTTCCCAACTCCTATCAATAGTAGAAATAATCAATTTTTTTTCATGCTTCTACGGCAGTTTTCATGTAGTTTGCAGCCAATTTGTACTGGCCAGAGTGAGAGCCTATAGCTGGTTGCCATGAATAGGCAGGAAGATTCTATTGGCCAGCATGAGAGCCAACAGCTGACTGACATGAATGTTAACTAGCATGCAAAAAAAAATCAATAGCTGCATTCATCACAAGTGGGAAAAATTTAAATCTGCATGGCACTATACTCCAATTGGCTCATTCGCTTACTTAAACTCAACGTTGATTCTGATTCCGCAGAACTAGAATGGGTGTGAAAAAGTATTTGTTGTTAACATTCTTTTTCATTCAGTTTTTCCAGTTCTGAGTCCTTTTTAAAGCTGATTGTTTTGTGTTCATTTTGTTTAGTTCTTTTTTCGTAACAGATTTATGTTTAGTATAGAGCTTAGAAAAAATTTGCAGTGTGAGATAGGCAAGAAGTAAGGCATGTAGCAACATCAGCACAGCAAAGGACACTTCTTTAAAGGCAAGGACGGGCAAAAATATTTTAAGTCAAGTGATAGCGATTGCTGTATGAGTCGCTCGATTTTTGAATCGAGCACAGGCAACACCAGGCCATGCTGCTAGTAAAATATGAAACTGAAAATGTTTATATTTATATGGTGTTTGATGATTTCCCTGTCTCTGTGATGCATTTAATCAGGTTTCAAACACATGTTAATTTGTAAAAAAAAAAAAAAAAAAAAAAAAAAAAATATATATGTGTAACACCAAGAACTTTTTGCTACTTGCACTGAATGAGGTTGAGAAGGTTTTTTTCAACTTGGTTCAAATTCAGGGGTGACTAGCCTGTTTTAGCTCCACTACAAAAATTATGCATTGCTTTTTTGGCAGGGCACAGTTTGTTGTGGTCCAATCAGGAATCTGGATTACTTTAAAGTAATCCTACAAATGTTTGCAAAACTTTGGTGGTGCTGACAATTTAAATGCTT